TGCCGTTTAACAACGCGTCTTGGACTTCTGCATTGAGCCAAAAATATTGTAAAGTGCCGGAAGTCTCTGAGAAAAGGGTGTCTGCTATCACAAATCTATCCACAGTCTACTCAGTTGTTCGCTTGTCTATTTCATTATCTTTAGACTACCTAGCGCACGGCAACTTTTAGACCTCTATAAAACGCGGTCGGATTAAAAAAGTTAAAGTTAGCACATGTCCATTTCAGAAGACTAGTTGGCGAGAATATGTTTGCTTCCGATAAATCCCTGTCAGGCCACTACATTTATATGGGAACGGGTTCAAGTAAAATATGTCAGGGCTTGGAGAAATCGATTAGAGTTCCTCTGAAAACACAGACGGGCTGCGAAATATGGTGGGGGAGTAATAGGTGCCATTCCAGGGGCGGGGTGAGAGTGGAAAGGCGCGAGGAGGTGCATGTGGTTAGTCGAATTTTGATCACAGTAAGCGTAGAGCATGAACGAGGTTCTTCTGCGCGCCCCTGACATGACTCTTATTACCCCCACTCACCCCCCCCCATGTTCCCGCAGCTCGCCTGTGCATTAAGAGGAGCTCTAATCACTGACATATTTTACTTGAACCAGTTCCCATATAAATGCAGCGGCCTGACGGGTATTTATCGGAATCCAACGTATGCTCGCCAACTAGTCTTCTGAACACTGCCATGGGAATTTTCGCAACTCTGAAGCATTCCCATTTGCCACCAGGTTTATAACAGGTTTATTGTCCATCTAAAGATCAGGGGCGAATGCACAGACTAGGATACGAAGAAGGCGCATGCGTCCTTTATTGCGATTCATACCGTTGGAAGAAATCAGTTGGTTTAGGGCAGCCGTCACCTTCCTATTTATGAGTATTCCGTTTTTGAAAAAAGTCAATAAAGTTAGTCAGATATCTAGCTTACGAAGTCGCGTATTATTCGCGTCTTAGCAGTCTAGTTATAAAATTTCAGAGGGGCATGGCCTGCTTCATTCATTCCTTTATATTCACTGTTACAGTGTTTTAGAACCGGCTGAGCATGATCTCACAGGAATAAGTTAGTGATATTACATTTTTTAACGGAGCGGTATCTGTGCTGATGCCAGCTTACCTGGCTGTAATCGTAGTAAAAAATGTGCTTTTGAAAAAACTACTTATTTCATCCGAAAATATCGATAAAATGGGGATGAAGTGGCTTACCTTCTGCTCCTGCTTCAGCTGCAGCTGCCGCGGCCTCCTTAGCAGCTTTTGCCGCCGCTGCTGCCGCAGCCGCTGAAATCGAAAAAACGTTAAAACTAATGTTACTTGCCGAGATTCAGTAAGCACAATACATAGCAAAAATAGTATACCTGCAGCCGCTATTAGAGTTTTTGCACGCTCCGTGGCCTCCTCCGTTGTTAACTCAAGTGCGCTAGCGAATGTGAATGGCAAGAAAACGGAGCAGGGTGTCTTTAGTTTCGACGGTGCCCAAATCATTTGAATTTCACTGGCCAACCTCAGATTCGGACCCAACCACGGGCTGGAGTAGCCGCGAACAGGAGAGGGGACTGGGGCAAAAACGAACTTGTCCTTTTTGCCGCCAAACGCATTCTTTGCGAAATCTACTTTGGCACCATTTATGGTCAGCATTGTTCCGCCGGTCTTCTTAACGACCATCTCAGTTTTCAGGAGAGGTGGACTGAAAGAGAAGACGACAGAAAGAGCGATGGGTTCAGATCCCGGACGTCAGTTCCCGCAGTCTTCATTATATGCCTGAAGCATGATCATGCTCACTTTTAGCCCTCATCCTTCTGTGTGTGACTGAATATCCTTCTAAAAGTTTCCGCATCATTACAAAAAAACTGATTGGATGGCTGGGATGCACTTTTTAATTAGAATCCATCGTTTTGAAACAGTGCACGCGATAGACTACAGTGGTCACTGTGTCCCCTGCATCGGGTGAAACATTAAAAACAACTTTTGCAACAAATTTATTGATGATTGACATAGACTCTAAATAGTTTTCTCCAAAACTTCACATAGAAGAGAGCATAGCAAAAATCTCAAAATTAAGAGCTTTGTGGGGTCAAATTGAGCAAAAAATCGATGAAGTGGTAAGACCAAGGCAGAATCCTAGATGCTGCTTTAAGTTGCATAGGGGTATGAACAGTGTTGTGATTGTCGTACGGCTGAGAAACAAAGGCCTATGATTAGAAAGCATTTGGTCAGGAAGTTTTGACTTCATATGAAATTTAATTTCATGTGGACTTCCTTCATTTATATTCTAAATGTTGATAACTTGATGTAAGGGACATCACTTAACACTTATGCATACATACGGTGCGTGACCGATCTCATGAAATGTTGGCCGAAATTCTGCAATGCGCTTTCGACAGACTAAAATTTAGAAAAATGATATAAAAGTGAAAGGGATGATAGTGCTCGATTTTTCTTTTGGTGGCATTGGCAATAATCGTGATTTTGGCTGGGGAGACGAAAACTTAAGAACGGTAGCTGATTCGACCTGTTATTCTCGTCCCGCATTATGCGCTACCAGTGAGTACAGTGAGGGTAACGTACCGCCGACTCTTGTGCCCCCGTTCCTTATCCTTCTTGGAGGACGAATTGGATGACGGAGATTTGCCGCGCTGGTGGGAGCCGGGGGTTCGACTTCTACCTCTAGTCTTTGATTGGGCATTTTTGTGTGCTCGACTGGCGGACCGCACCTGGCGGCGCGACCCCGAGTCACTCGCGTGTCCGCCCGACTTGTCTCGCGCCCTCACTCTCATGACGAGTTATTCAGGCAAGACAAAAGATTTTGGCATGGGCAAAGTCACAACCAACATCTTCCCATTTTGTGCGTGCATACTGGTTGCCGGGGTGACATTCGTACACCTATGCATTGGCTAGACTAGCATCACGTGGTTGGTCGAAACAGCTCTACGGCCGGCACACTTATGATTGTGGCCTCGGTTGGTTTACAATTAAGCACGCTCACTACCTGATTGGTCACAGTTTGTAATCACTGGTTCTTGTTCGGATATCTGTCTTTGTAATCTAGTCGGCCATTTGGGAAAGTCGATACTCGGTGGAAGATAACTGGCTAACTTAAATTATATGCGGTAAGTTATTTTAAGCATATTGGGTACTTTTTTCCGCCTAAGTCTTTACCACTACGGTTGCTAATTCAGGACAAGAAATAAAATTGCGATCTAGTGAACGGCAAAGAGCACGACGTTGTGGTTCCGACACGGTCCACCGCAGATAGAAATAAGGGAAAATCGCAATGTAAAAGATGGAATAAGGGAAAGGAAACTAAAATACGACGGTTGTAACCAGGTTCAGCTTAACGCGGAGTTCATTTGTAGATTAGGTCATTATAAATCAGAAGATGGTTGTCAGGTTGGTAACACTAATTGGCCAATATATTGCATATCCCGTCCAACAACGTGATTCAGCCATCAACTATGGCGTGCAATTTAAACACAGAGTGTCCTAAGGAATGCAGACTTGTAATTAAAGGTGCAGAAATTTCCCTTGAATTAGAATGTACAAAAAGCCGAAGTTTGGAAACTCGCGCGTTTGGGACAGTTAAATTTACGAATACGTAAAGAAAAACGTAGTCGGCTAGTTGAGGATGATGCCGTTAACGACTGTGAGGAGTTGCGTCCAGATGTAATGTTTTGTCATATTTCTTACAATGTCCACTTTTTAATATACACGTATATAAATAACAGAGGAAGTCAGCATTTCGAGCCAATGTACAAGAAGTAGGAGGCCTGTCGAAATATCCGGTTGTACCCGAGAACATTTCAAGATAGTTACATCAACCCGCCGTCAAACGAAATGAATAGTGGGGAGTGCGATAATCGCACTGGGGCGCTTACAAATCAAAGCTTGCATCGACAGACGGTAGAATGCCCCTCCGCAGTTGTATATATATATATGTATTAGAAGGTAGGAATCCCAAGAAATATAAGTGAAGGCAGAGGCGTTATTTGGGAAAAAAGTACTTTATTGCGGGAATTTTCGACGCCGGTTCCCCAGGTCGTCGTCAGACGCAGACTGAGAGTAAATGTGTCTCTCAGTCTGCGTCTGACGACGACTTGGGGAACCGGCGTCGAAAATTCACGCAATGAAGTACCTTTTTCCTAAAGAACACCTCTGCCTTTAACATATGTATAATATATATCAACATGGATGAAGATTTAAGGTCCAGATAAACTATCCTGTTAATCATCCATAAAATAATATGAAGAATAAAAAGAGGCGATTTCGTGGACCACACTGTCCTGGTGCTGACGTTTCGGAAATTTCTCCGTGTCTATCATCAGCGTGGTGGGGTGTCTGTTCCTGCTAGCTTAGACTTGTTCTATCTCGTTGCCTGTCTCCTGCTACATGCACGCCTGACGCAAAACTCTGACCTGCCTTCTGGCTCGGGGTTGGTTTTGGTCTATCCGTGGGCGACCGATGGCGCGCTCGTGTGACCTCTGTCCCCTTCATAGTTGTCGTAGTCGCTCCAAGGTCTGTGTGCCGTTGCGCCCTCCCCCATAACCAGATGTGCTGATCAGCTGTCGTTGCGTGTGCGAATCACGCTCAGCAGTTGGGGCGCGTCGACAGGTCGATGTCTTGCGTCGGTCGGGTGACCTCCGGCTGGCTATTTCTCTGCTGTGAAAGTGACAGCTGTTGGCGGAGCCGCGATTCGTTCGCCAGTGCTGTCGGCCCCGTCCGAACTGACTGGAGCCTTGTACGTAGGGCCTGGTAGGCCGGATAAAGGTCAATAGTCCTGTTGATTGTGCCAACTGAGGACCAACTTTCGAACACCAGTCTGGCCCTCTTGTCATTGGCTCGACCGATGACGCTTGCTCCCCTAAAAGCGAAACTGCGTTTCTTCTGTTGCATGTGGCCGTATACAAGTGACAGTTTATCCTCGCGGTTGACTGCAAGCTGATGCTCATGCAGTCTTGTGCAGAGGCGTTTCCCTGTTTCACCAGCATACTTAGTCCTGCAATTTTGACCCGGTATGCTGTGGACCATTGCTAACTGTTCCGTTGCCGCTAGCGGGTCTCTGGGTCTCATTATCTGCTGCCTGATAGTGAATTCCGGTTTATCGGCCACAACAACCCCAAAAGGTTTGTATCGTTTCAGCCACGGAATATTAGGGGGTGGACGTGGAGAGTGGTGTCACGTCGAAAGATACCGTCATTTTGCCACCTGTAATTCGAATGCTTTGTAGCTCTCAATGCATTGTTCAACCGAGTGGATGGTTGTTTCAGAACCCTGAGTTAGAAACTACAGAAGCTGAAACAGGCCAAACGTTGGGGTGCCTCTCAAAGAATCGACCGGTCGTAGGGAGTTCCTGGTTTGTGGACCTCGGAGAGTCCACAGAATCTCGCGTTTGCTGAATCCTCTGGTTTCCTCCTCCTCTATCAGCCAGGTTGCGTTATTTCTTTTGACTTCCGAAGACCTGCCAGGTCCTTGTCGATTTTGTTTACTAACATCATCGTTGTGTCAGCTTTACAGGAAATGTAGGCTGTTCTGTCGCCCAAAAGTGTCTCGACTTTGTTGACGTAGTCCTCTTTGTTCAGTACAACGTCGATCGTCCTTTATCGGCCGGGAGTATGGCAATGCTTTTGTCTGCCTTCGATGTCCAGAGTGCTCCATCTTCTGTTCTTGAGAGCGTCTTGCGACTTGTATGGGACATGAGTCTGGAGGATATACGCTGTCGCAGCAGAGTCCTATTTTTTGCAGTAATTTTGGCTTCACGAATAACAGATTTCGCGGCTGAAATTCAGTCAAATGGTTGGGCATCCGTGGTATTGAGGTAGGCATCGTGGCTCAGGACTTTTACTTTCTCTTCTGTCAGTTGCTTGGATGATAGTTTGTGCACAACATAAACGAAGCAGAGGCTTGTTCAATGTGGTCGGCTTCTGTTGCAGTCTGACATCACGTGCCTCGTAATTTTATTCAAGTCAATTATGATGGTTAAACCGGCAAACAGGCTCGCATGAGATTACACGATCACGAGCTGGCTGTGGGGCTGAAGGCTAAACTCTCCTGCGCCTGATATAGCAAAATAGCATTACCCATAAGGACAAGGGAGAGAGGGATGGCCATTTCTGGCTTACTAGCCGTCGTCAAACAGCCACATCCAACCCTGAGATGTGCAATACCCGGGGCCATGCCTATATTACGCGTCGATGTGCGGCTGTTGGTTGTGCTCGAGAGGGAGCCCCAAGGCACAACAGGACGAGTGAGTTCCGTAAAAAGGATCGGTGAGCGCCCCTCTATCATTGTACATTTCCGGCCGTAACCGACAGGACAACGAGCCCGTGGCTCAGTGGTCGGAAGCCTTGGACTTCTAACCAACAGGTCCGGAGATTGAGCCCCAGATGTTCCACATTTCGAGGTTGGGTAGGACTGGCTTACGACGGGTAATAAGCCAGAAATGGCAATTCCAGTCTCCCTTGTCTTTGTCGATAATGCTATTCCGCCGAGATCGTGCGCCTCTGTGCGACTGTTGGTTTGGCCCGAAAGAGAGCCCTAAGACACAATTGGACGAGTGAGTTCCGTGAAACTACCGCTGAGCGCTCCTCTACCACAGAAGCTGATATGATAGTAGAAGAGCTACTCGCATTACTATGTACCACCTACATGCGGTTTAACCACGCCAATTGCTTGTGCTGGTGCAAAAATGCAGATCAACACAGAACATCTTTCTTCACAGGCGACCCTTTTGCGTTCTCTTTTAAGACTGACTAACATCGGGCTTCGTACCCACTTTAAGCTACTGCTGGCCAACCCTAATAGATGCTGTCGATCACCTTTGATGCATAATGCCGAATATTTACGGTATTACTGATTCGAATAGCAACGTAACATAGTAAAAAGGTGTATATTTCTTCGTCTTCATAAACGACATTCGTGTGGAAGCAAATAACACACAATACTTCTAATTATATTCAAAACCGACTATTTGTTACAAAAATACCCGTTTAATCCTTGATCCACAAAAAGTGGGATTTTAGCCCCAACCTCTTGGCAAGCCATGTTTAGAACACATTTATATATCCCGTCAGCATGGGCCGTAAGATAGACCTAACGCGATTCATAGTCACCGCACCTACTTTCTACCCCAGGTTTGCCTCACTTACTTTCATGTGGCTTCGTCATCCAAATGTCAAATACAGGGCAAGATATGGGAAGTAAATATAAGGAGGCAGACTTTCTTTTCAAACATGTCCGAACTCCTTCTCTGAAGCCTTGCACTTTAAGTTAGAATAGCGTCACCAGCCAACGAAAAGGGACTTGAAAGAAAGCGCCAATTACTTACTCAGCTTTGAGGTCCACGTTGATCACATTTTGAAAACCCTTGAGCTTCACCCCACCTCCACCACCTTTGGCAGTCATTTCGGGCGGGAAGGTGCACGAGGTTTTTTAGTGCCGACGTGCCGGGGCTTCTAGGTCATTATCGATCTGCCATTCGGATTCTCCACGAGACGCGCACGTCCATCAGCGGCCCGCTCAAATGGTCCTGATCCCCGCGAATGTGAGCTTTCGCCACGATGGAAAGGAAATGATCATGCTGTTTGCCAAAATGGAGCCTTTGACTATTTAGCCCCTCCAAGCATGAAGGAATTCATCACGATGACACTGGTTTCTTCAATGAGGGAATTTTGACTGTTGCGCCAATTCTGTTTTCGGGAACTGATACAAAGACAAGTGGGTTCTGGATTTAAAAGAGCGAATTAAATGATAAATTGCACGCTTTATTCACTTCCGTAAATACCTCAAAGAGAAACGAAGAGAAATTTTGAAGTCATTTTGCCTAAAAGTTGTTCGCGAAAAACTCCTTGATTATCTTTAAAATAATATCATGACGCTACCCTCGACTGCACGTCTTCACAAACTGCAGCTGTTGAAGAAATCTATGCTGCTCATTGGACAACTTTGAGGCTCCTGTATAACGACACGACAAGTCGACCGTCATAACCGGCGATGTCCACCATGTGCTCTAGATTACGGTGAGAGCAGGGACGGTGACTTGAGCGTGAAGTACTTTAAATCGATAATAAATTTGTGCAGTATCTGTCGCATTCTCTCCCCCCCCCCCATCCCCCAACCTGGAATCGGTGCCAAAGCAGAGGCAAGAAGACCGGTGGTGGGAAAAGGCACAGCTGACCAGTACGGTAAAACCCCGCAACCAAGCGCGTACCACCTCACCGTCTCCGATCCCAGTGAGTGGGGCTGCCCTTTTCTATATTTCCCTTTTCTACTAGAACAAACTTAACCGTGAGCTTTATGCAGGGTCGGTCACTGTCTCCTACTTACCCACTGACACAGGATTCGATTGAGTGAAATAGAGGGTGGTTTTCACTGCGTGCAAGTCATTGTTGCTCCCCAGAGTCAGCTGCGCCCATTGACTTGAACGACATGCGACGCATGAGTGTGTGCATAATTATTGCCATTATCAGGATACTTCAAAGGATTCACCAGCCCTTAAATTAGACCAGATCCCAGTGCTTGTTAATTGTAAACTGTTGAGTCACCTAGGGATATGTCGATACAGTTTAAGTTCGAAGAACCACATAGGACCTGTATTAGTTCAGCATCAGATGGTAATGCATATTTACTCTAAATAACATACTATCATTATTAGTACTAGTATTCCCGTACCCACCTCAGGTCGTCTTTACATTGTCATGCCTTCGAAGTAAAGTGGGTGAGGGAGGAGGGAAGCTAGGCGACCAGACGCTGCGCTAGCCAGCTGTGGGCTAATCCACACCGGAGGTACCGGTGCCGCGCCCATTCCGTGGTATACAAGCTTGACGTCGTCGCTTGCGATTGTCAACCTGTCACCTAGGGCGTCCTTCAAGATGGTCGCTTCATTAACATAACGTACAGCAATTAGAAACGCCGAGTGCTGAAGAATCTGACAACAGGAATCTCTTTCTAAATTGTCATTTGCCGGTTCATTGTGAATAGTGAAAAACCGCCAAAAAGTATTTGTCAGTATATCTTCCCAGACGCGTTCAGTGCGCCAATGAAATAGCGAGTACAGGGGGAGGGTCCCATAAATAATGGCGCCTTTAAAAGTGGACCAGTTTCTTTTTATACTGAAAAGACTGTAGTTGACCTATTTTCTGGTGGCACCAGTCAGTATACCAACTTCTTAGTAAATAGAGAAACCAAATCCTCTTCGCATTGTTTAAATTTTCTTTTACGATTCCAATCCGAGGGTTAAAAATAAATAGCCAATACCTGAAAATGTTCCCAGATTTGTCTTGTCTGATGCCATAAAAAGTCGCTAATTTAATAAGGGAGATGTAAGAGTATCTGAAAGTAGGGCATTAGATTGCTGATTGAAGAATGACAGGACAATAAATGTGCGTTGATGAAGTTCGAAGTCTTTGTTCGAAAGCCAGTATCGTTATTGGTTCAAATAAAAAACTGTGGTCAATTGGGACGATCGTCGCAACTTTTCACAGTGAGTAGGCATGACAGGGTCACGAAGTATGTACGAAGTATTTTACTTTACACTTGATGTTTACTTGCATTTTGTAAGTAGAAAAGACGGGTCAAACACATGAAACTGGCGTGCGCCAATCTCGATTACAGGACAGAAAAGTGAACGCTGGATTCGCATTTGCCGATCGGGTTACGGGACTTATTCGTCCTATTGTGCCTCGGCGTTTAATGGCATAACTGGCCGATGGTGGGTCATAAGCCAGAAAAGGCCACTCTAGTCTCTCTTGTCTTTATCGGGTCTACTTTTTTTAAGAGAGCATTTTCGTTTTGCCTTGGAGCTGAGGCGATCGCATGACGACTGGCAATCAGTCATCAAGAAGTTTTCTAACAAAGATGCGGATACTGGAATGTCCATTTCCGGCTTATTTTCACTCAGTAGCCAGTGACGCCCCAGCCTCAGCCTGCATGGAGAGGATTCGAATCCGGGTCAGATGGTCGTCGAGCAACGCCCCACCACTGCATGTTATGTCCGCAGAAATCAAGGATATTCAGGGTAGGTCGGTGCACACTACTCTTTTATGGACAGAAAACTCTCTTTATCAGTCGACGTGGTATTAACCCATAATGCAGTGGCGGAGCGTTGTTCGATGATCAACTGACTCAAGTTTGAATCCTCCATGTGCAGAGTTGAATTGAGGTTTCCCTGGCTGATGAAAGAATATAAGCCAGAAATGGCCATTCCAGTGTTGTTTCCCTTGTCGGCAAAACTTACGAAGAAGAAAATCCAAATTACATTTTCTTTGACCAGTTGCCGTCAATTTATATTCAATAATCCCTAATAAGCAGTGCATGCTGTCAAAAAACAAACCTTACAAAACTAGACGATTAACGATGAACAAAGTGCCCTGAACAATTAGCATACCGCCTCCTGTCTTCATGAAGCAAGCCTCATTATTTATCAGTTAGTTCTCTAACTTTTGCAGTTTTGTCCAAAACTCGGCGGATGGACTCAATTATTTCATTATTCTAAAGGAAAAACTATCAAATAGCGTGAAAGCGGACTTTCTGGTTCCGAAAATTAAGGACTTATTTTATAAGACCACCCAACAAACTACAAATAAATGCTTTCATGATTTTTGGACCCTGATTTTCGAAAGTTTTCAATGAAGGCATGGTCAAATTAAAAACAGGTCCTGGAGTTCCAAAAAAACCAAAACTATTTGACGATGAACCATGGGGCGCGGCTCTATTAACTCGCGGCCAGTAAAGTATGAGATTGGATTTGTGCAGGGAGCATGAAATACGTGAACATCGGTCCCACAATTTGTTCCTCCAATGGTTAGCCACTTTTTTCTTGTGAAATTTGTCTCCTAAAGTGGACGTACAAATAGACCTATTTTTAGGCGGACATGACTCGGAGTGTTTATAGAACAACTTGGTTTCAAATCGTTGCTGAGTAAATAGTCTGGTTCCAAAACAGTAAAACCTCTAAAAGTTAACCATAGCAATACGTGAAAAGAAACGAGTCTAATAACCATTTAAAAATATTCTCCGCAATAATGCCTTTTTCATGCATACTTTCCGGGTGACCCAATGAGTTTGAGTTCATGTTAAAATTAATAGCTTTTCCGAATTTCCGATTTCTGCTTCCCTATCCACCTTTATCTCAACCGAAACCCATAACAACGAAAGTCATAATTTACAGAGCACATGAATTTTTCAGTTTCTTCCGAGATGCTGTTGGCAAGGCTTGATCTGAGTCAAGTCTATAAATATTCGGAAGACGAGGTGGCGAGCATACGTAACTTTCGGTAAATTATCCTCGGTCCAGTGCAATGACATGGGAACGGGGTAGAAGTAAAACATGCCAACGCTAAGAAAAATCGATAAAAATTCGCCTTCAAACACAGGCGGGGTGTGGGAATGTGGGGGAGGAGGGGGGTGTAACAGAAGTCAGTGCCAGGACGGGGGTGAGAGCGGAAGGGCGCGGAGAATTGCAGCGTTAGTCGACCTTCGACCACTGTAGGCGCGGAGTCTGAACGTCGTAGTTCTTCTGTGCGCATAAGATTGGCTTTCGTAACCTGATGGCGGCCACTTCTGCTGTTGCTAACAGGCGCTGGCCTAGTTGCTTCGGGTAGCTCGATGGGACCTTATAAAAAGCTTCTTTGGGTTCACACGATGTCCGGACTCGACAATATGCGCGAGAATGGCGCTGCTTATGCTCCTCGTTTCGCCTTTTCCCAGTCATTCGGAGAGGTTTTCCCGTCTTCTCTTGGATAAGCGCCGACTCGGGCGACCAATATTACCTGCTGCACATAGTTGACCTTCAGGACGAGTGAGTTCCGTAAAAAGGAACGGTGAGCGCCCCTCTATCATTGTACATTCCCGGCCGTAACCGACAGGACAACGAGCCCGTGGCTCAGTGGTCGGAGGCCTTGGACTTCTAACCAACAACCGAAGCAACTAGGCCAGCGCCTGTTAGCAACAGCAGAAGTGGCCGCCATCAGGTTACGAAAGCCAATCTTATGCGCACAGAAGAACTACGACGTTCAGCCTCCGCGCATACAGTGGTCGAAGGTCGACTAACGCTGCAATTCTCCGCACCCTTCCGCTCTCACCCCCGTCCTGACACTGACTTCTATTACACCCCCTCCCCCCCTCCCCCCTCCTCCACATTCCCACCTGCCGCCTGTGTTTGAAGGCGAATTTTTATCGATTTTTCTTAGCGTTGGCATGTTTTACTTCTACCCCGTTCCCATGTCATTGCACTGGACCGAGGATAATTTATCGAAAGCTACGTATGCTCGTCGCCTCGTCTTCTTATTACTGATATGGGAATTTTCGCGACTCTATAACTAAGTGCTGAGAATAGTCCACAACACTGAATAAACATTTTGGTTGTGAACCTCGACATCCAAGTAATTTGCAAAGAAAGCCGAAACTAGAACCTCATGGGAAAAACAATGGCGATTTTGGTTCTACAGCTGGCCTAGTAAGCTGTGCCTTAACTAGTTGCGTCATCTACATTACAGAGTACAGTTTATTGGGAATTAAATGTGAATGTACTCATTTAGTGGGTCATACTCACTTTTTATGTATCCCGAGGGCTATTCCGTCTGTTTATGCCTATTTTTTTTCAAAAAGTCTACAGTTCTCTCTTATAATATTTATAGATGTTTTGGCAGATTTCAAATAATTCGCTTTGACCCAACTGTAAAAAACTCGGCGCCTCGGTGGAAATCGAACCCACGACAGATAGAGGAAGGCTTTAGTACGGCCGACGCTCTAACAACCTGGCCTGTGAGGCTTCACCGGGAGACGTGATTTTAATCACATTTGGGTCGAGTTACCCGCTCAACCTACCGCAACGTCTGGAATCCACCAAATCTGACACAGTGAGCTGACTAACCAGGCAGGATTTCCTACGTAATCCACCTAGAATCCACCATATGACTTATCAGGCCCACTAACTCATAGGTGGGGCGTCGTAGCTAAGGTGGCTAGAGCGTTGGCTGTACTAAAGCCCCCCCCTTGATGTCGTGGGTTCGAACCCCACCGGAGTGCCAAGTTTTCCACAGCTGGGCCAAAATGAATCTTATATATATATAGGTAGGGGGCGCTGGGATGTCCATTCCCGGCCCGCTAGGTGACGTCAGCTAGCCTTATCCATCCTGTGATTGAGGACCTCTGCAATTCGAACAGGGGTTCTTCGGTCATCAATTGCATTCATTCCAGCGCTCCACCAAGAGAGTCAAAGCTCCGTTGTCCCGTTGGTTGCGATCGATAATATAAACTCTATTATTACCGGTTACGGTGCAACTGCTTGCAAAGTCCCTAGATTGAGTTATAATTCGCTAAGGGTTGTGCATGGCCCGAATTCTGATTGGCAAACATCCTTCACATGATAATGCACACACTCGGTTAGTATTTCTAACAAGAGTCAGGGAGGTCAAAATGGACCATTCATGACTGTCTTTCGTCGTCAGTCTATCATATCTCAGATCTTAGTCTGAGTGACCGCAGATTCCAGCGTATACCTCACTGACCACTGTGCTTAACTTTCTACCATTTAAGCTACAAAAGCGGACTCAGCTGTCTGCAACCGTCAACATTCGAGGATGCATGAGGGATGCATTCGCAGACTTGGCCCGACAGTTAGACGGAAATTCAGTTCTTTCTGCGGATCCCCGTTCCGGAATCCTCTCCTCAAACATAATGTCGACGGACATCTAACTATCTGAAAGCACTGGCTGCAAAGACAAGAAAGGTTGGGGTGATCACTTCTGATAGGCCCGAGGACATGCGACTTGGACTTTGACCTAATCATCCTGTTGTCTTCCCGCTTAAATCACTAATTTTCTGATAGTGGATCTACCGGAAACATGTGAACAATCGGAGGTCGTCTTCAAATTCCATTCTGCAAGTATCGACGCCAACATCAAGGCAAAATCGCATCACGAACTAGCTCATAAAAATGCGAATTATAAACGGGAGGTTCAGGAGGTTAACCTACTGTCCCTGAACGCTGATTACAGTTTAGAGGATAACCATGCATTTAACTTCATAGGCATACAAATACTAGCATGAATCGGTAAAATATAGGTCGAGTCTGATTGGAAGTCAGTATTCCTGATCTGAACTTTGAAAGCCGCCACACCGTTTTCTCTCACTGTCACGCTGCGTCCTCCGTTCTTGGCCAAGGACGCGGACACTGAGCATACTATGGGGAAATACACAAGCTGTCCATGCATTGTCGTTACCTCTAATGAGGGGTTCCTGTGATCAGGAGGTGCAAGTCGTATATTCGCTCCCCATTCCTCGATTCGGCGTTCGAAATGTGTCCCCAGAATGCCCTTTTCTACAGCCGATGTTTCTTGTGTCGTCATTGTCGATATCTTTGCCCCTAAATCGGAAAGTGTGCTGGACCAACAGGCAGGCCTGATCGGGGTCCGGCAGGCGTTATTGGGAATGCGCACCCACAACAGATGCCGACACTGGGTTGTGGTGGCAGGTCCAGTTGCCGTTTCATGGCGTGCCAATGGGGATCCGTGCCGTCCCCTACTTGTGTGGTGGTATAAGATATTGGTCAGTATCCGCTGTGGACCAGCGGGTGTGGTGGTAGGTCTACGTGCGGATTTTCGTTGTGTCAGCCACTTGTGCCCTCTCCCGCCACCGGTCCTCTCGTGAGTCAACTGTTGCTATAAACTGATTCGGAGATACACAGGTCGTGTGAATGGCTGTCTTGTCATCCGCTTACCTTCTTTTGTTGTTGTTGTTTTTGGTCAAAATCAAGTTTTTTGTGGACCAATGGGTGTGATGGTATGCATAAAGGTGCGGGCCCGGCCGTGCCAGCCACCTGCGTCATCTATCGCCTCCGTGTTTCTAGACTATGTCTTGACACAGGCTTAAGGCGCGAAAGGAGGGGATAGTGCGGTAGATGCTGCGCAAGTCTGTTCTCACTATAAACTCATCCACGAGCAAGTCACCGCGCCTGCTTCACCTTTCTCTGGAGCACACGGCGGACATCGTCATACACGACGTACGAAACTTCATTAATACAACGACACGTCACAAGCGTTAAGTCACTTGCTGACCGAGTCCTGGATGATGTTGACCAACCCCTTCCCCCTGAAGTAATTTATACGGAATCGTTCTGTCCCATACGCAGTGGTCTCTGGCATATCTCTTGTTGTACGTCGGCACATCAACGTTCCGTGTCCTCATTTTTGTCCCAACGCCTTACGTGTGGGGAGACCGAAATACAGAAACTGTGACTAGAGCTGTCCCCATGATAGTCGTGCAGTTTTAAGTGAACCCATTTACTTTCGCATTATCTATTAATTTTTACTCTGGCCATGGTGGATTGAGGACAGAGTTGGCAAAAAAGTGGAAATGATGCTTCCAAACTAAAGCGTTCTACTCTCTTTCTTCCCTTCTTTGCCAGAATATATTGCATTAGAAGAGAGTATCGCATTTTTACCGATATTTTCATCTGTTACCATATTTTTGCCTTAAATGAAGTCGCTTGTTAATGAGCTCTGACACAAATACGGAACCCGTTTACTTCGGGATGTCGTTAGATTTTTGTGCGTCTATTTTTATTTATACTGCATTCTCCGTTTTTCTGATAATCAGATAACAATGCTTGTGGATGCGCACATTAGCCGAAAGCTCCATTCATATTCACAAATGTCCTCCCCTCTTGTCAGACGAGTAAGTTAGGCTGGACCTGAGCGAAAAATGAGATATGGGGAACTCAAGAGCAAATATATTTATTTGGCTTCCCAGCATCCATGCGAAATTCTACTAATTTTTGTTTTAGAAGCAGACAATACCGCAACATATCCTTGAGATCAAGGACTCACTTTTGAATGGCAGGTAATAGAACCTGCGTGCGATGACGGTACGGAAAGTATTATTCACTAGTTCCCAGCGCTTTCTGAGGATAGGTGGAGGCGTAGTGCAAGCAGGACTTTGATGGCGGCTCCTTCTATCAGCCGCGGAAAACAGCTGACAATTCGTACATTTACGACCGTCTTCTCGTGACTCCTTCATTACGTTATTTCTTTTCACGAATTTGAACCTGTGACCTGCCTAAGGAACAAAGGTGTACTTTTACTTGAGGGTTTTCTACTTTCGTCGGAAACTACTGAACGATTATCGAACGGTATGTGAAACTGGAGATAACACGTGATTGTAATGGATAGGAATTGTTTTTTTCTTCCACGTTGGAGACGGCTGAAAGTCAACGTAACAGGGTTTTTCAAATTCGCTCCTAGTATTTGTGCATAGGCTTACATTGAACAGAACTAACTTTGGAGGAAAACCGGGCGATTTGCACTCATGCGAAAATATCGCATTGTCAAACTTTTTCAGTGTTTGACTTATGATATGTACGGCCTAACTCTGTCCTATAGTAAGAGAACTCAGTTCTAGGACTAAGCAAGGTCGACTTCAATCTGGCGCCCTACTGTTTCACCAAGTCAGGCTGACTAGAGATGAGTTTGGACAAGCTGGCTGACGCGACGTTAATTCGCCATCTGGCGGGGACTCAAATGCTGCGTGCTTGAGAATTGCCACGAAAACTTCATGCACTTCACTCACCGACGGGACGACGTCTGACGCCCCATCATCTGTTACTATTGCCACCAGCACCTCCACCTACAGCGACGAGGACTCGGCCCCAACCTGTCCTCATTGCGATCGCACATTTACCTCCCACCTCGGCCTGGTCGGTCACCTTCGAATCCATCGCACGGTGGCTAACGAACCAGTACGTGGAGCACCAATCTACAGTCGCCGTACCCGCCCCAACTGCCTCGCTGTTCCCGTAGACTCACTCATCGCACATGGGCTTATTAGGTCACATGCGCATTATCGAAAGCCTGTGATAGACGACCGCCGGCTACACCACACATCCCCCACTAACAACCGTATCACACAATAATATCACTACTTCAAGCACTCGATTGCCACATTCCACGCAAGTGGAAATGTTCCTCTCGGCTCCGCCTCCATGGGGTTCCTTTGCTTTATGCGTGATCCGGGTCTGAGACTATCACGGTGCGTCAAGTGCCGTGGCTTGGAGGGCTGCTAACTGACGATTCTGCTCAGTCCACGCATTCTGCGCAGTTGTTTGTGTTTTTGTGGAATGGCGGACTGGTTGGCTGAGAGGAAAGCTGTCAGGGCTCCTTCTTAAAGTGACCTGTTGCACTCTCACGCATGTGAGGAGTGTGCGCTACTTAATGGGTGGTGCCTTTCGGTCGTGGACTGACTGGTTACCCAGAATTTTATGGTGATGGTTCAGGCAAATGCAAGGCCGTGTGTTCCCATTCTGGGCCTCAAGGTTTGTGGGTCTGCTATGTCATGATCCGCAAACCATGGTCTTCGAAGCCTGGTATACGTTGGCAGTTCTCTGGTATCTGGTTCTCTGGTAATAGATGCGCTTGCGCTCCTGTTGGGTACACAGGTCGTGTGCATAGCTTTCCAGTCATGCACTTCCCTTCTGTTGTTGGTCAAAATCCTGGTCAAGTGTTTGTTGTGGACCTGGGAATATGGAGTGGAGCGCCAAGATGCCATCTACCTGCGCTCTCCCCGTCCCCCCACTACTTAACTCTGTCTTGACACCCGGTCCAAGTGGGGAGGAGGAGAGAGTGTGGTAGCTGCTGCGCAAGCCTACTCTCACTATACACCAATTCACGTTCAATTAAAGTGCCTGCTTCACCTTGCTGTGGAGCACAAAGTGGACACCATCCAGTGCGACGGTCGAGCTATCATGAATTAGTGCAGTCTGTTCAGGTTTAGCACAACCGCTACTTAGACTGCCTTGTGGTGGCTGTGTAGTGGTCCTACTCAGGGTGCTTGTTCTAACGCTGCGTCTCTCGCGGGTAGTTAGACGTGCGCACCAGTGGCCGCCTGATTATTGGCCAATCACCTTCAAGACCGGCTCAGTCGTACTCTCCCTGTAGGACGCTGTGCCACATTCCCAACAGTCACTTGGGGCGGCACTCTCGGGGCGTTGGATGTGTTCTGTCGTCCGGCTGCCAACTTATTCCAACCGGTTCTCCAATCTTTCTGTACAGACTACAGTATCCTCGCATCTGGTGTCCAACACCTATTTGGGACTGGGCCTGTAGATCGTAGTGGCCAGGATCTGGCCATGGCTTTAAGTGTCACGGCAGCTTCAGCGCACCACTCTGTGGTCATTTTCGAAGGTACGGTAAGTCGAAAACTCGAAACATCCTAAATCACAAGTTAGTGAGGACATAATTATTGAACAGTCTTTAGTGCGACTAGAAAGTATGCGCGCAGCTCAGTAGGCTGGGGTAGCAAGTCGTTTCACCAGATGTGTGGGAACCGTTGTGGTTTTGCTCCGACACGAAGCGCGTGCGTGCGCCTGGGCTTTGTTCGCCTGTGCAGCCAATCAGCGAAGGAGCCAGCACCGATTGGCCTCGAGGTGTCACATCTCGTCGGCTCAAGCAATCGATTGACAGGAGACGTTAGGCGGTCCGAAGGCGACATCGGGAAGCGGCCGCGCTGTCAACACTGATGCAACATTGAACCAGTCATCACCTCTTAGTATTACCATCATAGATCAAATTCTCATCGCAAAGCATGATCCGGTGCAGAAATGATTGTTTTCTCTTTATAACTACTGGTACTTAAAGGCAGCAACATGTGTTGTTCCTTCAACTTGAATGATACCCTCTTGCCTATTTTCGCCCTTTTCGCAG